TATATATATATATATATATATATATATATATATATATATTTTTTTTTTCTTTTTTATTTGTGCATAAAATTTATTATTTTTTTTTCAGAATACTTAATGTACTTGATTTTTTTTTTAATTTTTACTATGCGTTATAATGATCGATAAACGTCAAGTGGTAATGCTTCTTTATGATGCTTTGAACTCCGTGCGATATCCTGGAATAGCCCAGGTTGACGTTCAAAATTTTAAATCTTGTTTTTTTAGTGAAAACAATATATTTTCATTACTACGATGGCTTTATATGAAAGGTATAGATAAAATAAACCCAACAGATAAAACTTTGAATTTCACTCAAGGAAATAAAGATTCAGCTGCAGATCCACTCGCAGTTGATGAAAGTAAGTTTGTTATATTTAATTCGTTCAAAAAATGAAGTATTTTTATAATTAAAAAGTTTTAATTTTTAGAATTCCTCATCAAATGGTATTCTCAATCAGGCATTTACACCAGTGAAAAAGCAATTCAGGTTTGTTGTGATTTCGTCAAAATTACACTATGTTTATAAATTTATAAAAAGAAGACTTATTAATATATTCACATTATTCGTAAATAATTGATAATTTTTTTTCTTATAACAGGGTCAATGTCAAATAGATGCGTTCAATAATTTAACTGATTATATTATAAATGTAATATGTTCGAATACAAAATTTCTACCTGCATTGATAGCCTGGAATGGTGTTGAAAAATATTTTGCTAACCAAATAAGTTTCACACCGTTATCTTATAATCCAAAGAAATCAATTCAAGTCGGTCATTTTAAGTCGTATATAGAGAACATGAAAAAATGCGATAAAACTGAAAATAATGTAGATAAAGAATCAATGAAAAAGGTATCTATTATTTATTTTTTCTTTTGTTTCAATTAATACTAAATTTAAAAATATGTTTAAGGAATTGGCTTCTTTCACATACGAAAACGAGTCCAACAGTGCCATTGAAAATCAAAAGAAAAAAAACCAACCATTTGTTTTTAAAAAGTTTTGCAAAAATTTTCAGAATGATGATATTGGTCCCAAAATTGTTGTAGAAAATAAAAAATCACATGATACATCCGTTGTTCGAAATACAGTTACGAAGTTTTCGAGCTTAAGTAAGGTAATTCCTCGATTATTATTCAAAGTACAAAAACAATTTCTATTTCACGATTTTTGATGCTTGAATGCTGATTGAAATTGAAAACTTTAATATGTAAAAAGATCAAAGAAAAATTTTCAATTGCAACATTGATAATCAAATCATTTTTTCAAAAACTAATGAAAAATTTTACTAAATCATTATAGTTTCATGAATTTATTTTAAAAAGCATGATCAGAAGATTTTACCAATTTAAGATTCAAATCTTAACCATTCATAACACAATTATTAATTAATTTTCAAAGTAAATGAAAAAAAATTTTTTCTCCTATTGACTTAATTGACTCCTATCTAACTAACTTAAACTGATTTTTATTTTAAATTATGTCGGTTGATATTACTGAGATTCTTTAATAATTCAACTTCATCTATGTGAATGATTTTAACATCCAACTTTTATATCGTCAAGTTAGTAAAATTAAATTAATAAATTAATGACAAACGTAAGCTAATTTAATGAGATAAAGATTATTTGAATAAAGTGACAAATAATTAAGTTTTTCTTCTTCTTTTTTCAGGTAATATGTGCTAAAACAGAATTACGATGCAGTCTAGATTCAGCTTATGTAAAAATTGAGAATAGTTTTTTTCATTCCGTTTCTGAAAACATCATGACTCAGCTTAATAACCTTACTAAAGCACGTGATGCTAAATAATTTAATTTAAATTATTATTGAACTCAATTATTTGTAATTATTTTACGAGGATGGAGGAAAAAAAAATTGTATTGTTTTGATTTTATTTATAATACGTAGAAATACATTATTTTATTCCTACGATCTTGGGCGTTCTTTTTTTTCCTTGTACAATGCAAGTAATGATACATTTGCAACTTTAATCACTTTGAAACGAACACCAGGAATGTCACCAACGGCATGACCTTTACGTCCAAATCCAGCAACTAATACTTCGTCATTTTCCTCGATATTGTTTAGACAACCGTCACGAGGTACAAAAGCTGTTATCTTCTTGCCGTTTTTAATAAGCTGTACTCTGACACATTTACGAATAGCAGAGTTAGGCTGCTTGGCTTCAACTCCTCTGCAAAATACGATACATTATATTAATTTGATAATTGATATTGTCTATTAATTTTGTAGATGAGCAGGAACCAATCAAATAGCGATTTTTTTGATAAAAATAAAAAAGATAAATAGCAAAATAAAAAATGTCTATTTAGACAATGAGAAAATGCAAACTTGTTAAACTTTAATTTTCTAATAATTTATGCATATTGAATTGAAGAATTATTCTATATCTTTTATGACGTTGGTAGATTAGGCAATAATTATAAATAAAAAAACAAAAAAAAACTTACACTTTTTCCAAAACAATCCCTTTAGCATGAGAAGCTCCTCCAAAAGGGTTAGCTTTCCAGCGCGTTCCCAAATGAGCTTTTTTGTAGTCTTTATCATTCCAACGTTGTTCACGTCGGTGATTCACGTGTTTTCTCGCAGTGCGAAGACCTCGTGGCTTACCTGCGATGATAAATATATATATATGTAAGAAAATTTATATGTAAATATATATCTTTCTCAATAAAAAGTCAACCAAAAGGGATATAAAATCCAATTATTAGAAATCACAAGTTTAAGCAAATGTAACAATAGAATGTTCATAGATAAATTAAGGTTAGTCTTACTTAAACCATTCAAATAAAAGAAAATGAAAAATTAATTAAGAATTATTAGTTGATGATAGAACCGTATCAAATGATTATTTTTTTTTCAACAAAATTTTTACAAAAATTTTGGTAATTAGAATGTTTAATTGTAAATTATATAAAAACTACGTCCTCACCCATGTTAACTACGGTACAGCCTGGTTGTAAAAGAATTAGGTCGGGGAAAAATTAAATGTAGTATAGTTTAGTTAGCTTTAGTTAACGACGCTGCAGTTAGCGGAAGAAGTGCTTAAGTAAATTTAATTCAACAGCGTTGTGTCTCTACCTAGTGTAGAAAAAATTAAATTAAATAAAGACTATACCAACTGTACAGGATGTACTTACATCTCCAATGCGTGTGTGCGGTGTGACAGTGTGACGTTATGATAGTTATGATCGAGTACAAAGTACAAAGGGACATAGATAGTTCTGATAATTATAAAAATTAAATCGTTTCGAATTTTATTTTATTAAATTAAATTTTCGATGCCGCGCTGAAACCGAGTATTTTAATACTCTCGGACTCTCGGGCGAATGGACAATAGTTGGTAAATTTTCATATTTTCATGCAAAATAAATTAATATTCACTAGATAGAGGCATAGAGGCATAACATAATACACACTGTACTGCCTCCTTGCGGACTCAGGTGTGAGTTTTAGCCACGCGGAATTTATTTAAATTGTCATTGTTTGGTCTAATTCAAATTTATTATTAAAAACTTATTCGATTAAATTGCAGAGAGATTATTTCAGTTAAATGACACAAATACTGAAGTACATGTTGAGCATATGTACTTATACTGAGTTAATAAGTTAATAATATGAACACGTGTTTATATGTATGGTCGTAAGTATGTCTGTGTGTATGTATGAACGTGGCCCTCTACAAGACGATCGACAAAAAAAAAAACATTTGTCTCTAATCTCCATGGTTATATTCTGTTGTTTACTTGTTAGTTTTTATTAGAACTATTTATGTATCTTCGGTTTTTAAAGGTTATGTGACTAACAATTGAAAAAAAAATTTTATTAATATCAGTATATTAATAACTTGTCTCATTTTACAAGTTATAAAAAAATTGTCGTCATGAATCCTTCTGAACCAACATGTACTGAAGTTTTGAGGTAATATAAATATTGTATTAACAAAGGAAAATTACAATTCACTTATAATGTCTAAACCTGTGCCGGTTAAACGATAAGTAAAAGTTGTAAGAAACTACCTCGCTTATAGAATCATAATATTCGATTAAGTATTGAACAATTATTACTAAACAACAAATCAAAAAAAGGTCGGTAGTAGAGAGTTGTTTCTAATAATTATTTCATTCATTTCAGTTCCAAGATGAAGGATGTTATTGATGTATTAGCTATGCAGCGGGAAAAAAGAAATATATTACAAAAAAGTATTACTATTGATTACACAATATCAAGTGATAGCTTTGCGATATCACGATTTATATTTGAATGTGGTAATTATGATAACTTCACTTTATTTATTTTATAAATTTTAGATTTTTCATTTTGATATCACTCACCATAGTTATTGTTAAAAAAAAAAAATTTTAAGCCCTATTCACTCAAGCTCATTATTTCTTCAAAAGTGTATTCGTTTGCGTAGAGTAGAAAAATTTGAGTAGAAAAATTCTTAATCTAAGAAATTTTTCTTGATTTAAGTAAATTTTACTTGTCTGAAGACAATAAAAATCTTCAAAATTAATTCTCGTTTTAAGAATTTTTCTCTTGATTTAAGTTAATTTTTTTTTTTTTCAGTTTAATGTTTAGTAATTTGTTTTTCTAATGAGATTGGCCAGTTATTTAACACCATAATAAAGTTAGTTTTAAATTATTGGCAACAATATTACAGGAGTTCTATCCTAGTCTGATGAATTTCATGTAGAATTATCACGAAGCTGGCCGCGGAAAAGAAGTCCAAATCGAGATAGTTATAGGATAACTCGAAGCCCGAAGTTACAATATCTGGAAAAAAAAAATCATTTAAAAATTATATTTGTGCTGAAAACTGAATACCGTTAAAAGTAGCTATATACCCGGAAAAAAATGTTCAGGACTGATCAGACCTGTTCATATCTGATCAGACCTGAAATCCGACCTGATCAGGCCTGTTCAGGTATGATCAGGCCTGAAATTAGGCCTAATCAGACCTGTCCATGTCTGTTCATGTCTGAACCGTTAGATACGCTCAGACTTGATCAGACCTGATCAGATCTGATCAAGCCTGTCCATGCCTGTTCATGTCTGAAGCATTAAATACGCTCAGGCCTGATCAGACCTGATCAAGCCTGTTCATGCCTGTTCATGTCTGAAGCATTAAATACGCTCAGACCTGATCAAGCCTGTTCATGCCTGCTCATGTCTGTTCATGCCTGTTCATGTCTGAAGCATTAAATACGCTCAGACCTGATCAGATCTGATCAAGCCTGTCCATGCCTGTTCATGTCTGAAGCATTAAATACGATCAGGCCTGATCAGACCTGATCAAGCCTGTTCATGCCTGTTCATGTCTGAAGCATTAAATACGTGCCTGTTCATGCCTGTTCATGTCTGAACCGTTAAATACGCTCAAACCTGATCAGACCTGTCCATGCCTGTTCATATCTGAATCGTTAAATACGCTCAGACCTGATCAGACCGGTCCATGTCTGATCATGTCTGTTCTAGCCCAATAGAAAAGGATTAAAACTCCATATATCAGCTGACAAGAACTGTTCATGCATGAGTTGCCCTCTTAAATGATATTTTAAATCTAGAAAAAAAATTTTATCGAACTATAGACTGCAGTCCTATTTTTAAAATTAATTTGTTCCGTATGACGTATCAGTTTCTATCCCCTTAAAAATTTTAAATGTACAACTTTCATCAAAAATTTCGGCTTATATAAGCATAAACTTTTTAATTTTCCATGCCAAAACGATGATTTTTAACGATGAATTTTGACGCAATGACAAAATTTTTTACTGTGTTCCATTGAATACGCGAAAAATAAGAATAATTAGTAAAAGTTTGAGTTTGATAGCATGAAAATACCAAAATATATCAGTTGATATCGATAAGTCCTTTCAAGGTGTATGCTATTATCTTAAGCTACGCCTTGATCCATTGCAGTAGTGTCAAAGGCTTTTAAATTGTAGAACACAAATAATTCTTCATTTCCTATACGTATTTATTAAAAAAAACTTCAATTTTTAAAGAAAACAATAAAATTATAATTACGGAATAAACCTTGAAGAAATTGTTCTTTTTACTTTACATAGAACCATATGTTAATAAAGCGAATAAAATACATAGCCGTCCCAAATAAATCACTCTAATATACACAGCAAAAAATTTTGCGTCATTGCGTCAAAAATCTTAGTGTTAAAAATTTTTATGTTAAATATTAAACACTTTTTTGTGTTGATTTAACAGAATAAATCTTAAATTTACACATAAAAGTGTTAAATATTTAACACAAAAATTTTTAACACAAAATTTTTTGACGCGATGACGCTAAATTTTTTTACTATGTATATTAGAGTGATTTATTTGGGACGGCAATGTATTTTATTCGCTCCATTAACATATGGTTCAATGTAAAGTAAAAAAAACAATTTCTTCAAGGTTTATTCCGTAATCATAATTTTATTGTTTTCTTTAAAAATTGAAGTTTTTTCTAATAAAAACGTATAGGAAATGAAGAATTATTTGTGTGTTCAACAATTTAACAGCCTTTGACACTACTGCAATGGACCAAGGCGTAGCTTAAAATAATAGCAGACACCTTGAAAGGACTTATCGATATCAACTAACATATTTTGGTATTTTAACGCTATCAAACTCAAACTTTCACTAAATAATCTTATTTTTCGCGTATTCAATGGAACACAGTAAAAAATTTTATGTCATTATGTCAAAATTCATCGTTAAAAATCATCATTTTGGCATGGAAAATTAAAAAGTTCATGCTTATATAACTCGAAATTTTTAATGAAAGTTTCACATTTAAAATTTATAAGGGGATAGAAACTAATACGTCATACGGAACAAATTAATTTTAAAAATAGAACTGCAGTCCATAGTTCTATAAAATTTTTCTTCCAGACTTAAAATATCATTTAAGAGGGCAAATCATGCATGAACAGTTCTTGTCAGCTAATATATGGAGTTTTAATCCTTTTCTATTAAGCTAGAACAGACATGATCAGACATGAACAGACATGAGCAGGCATGAACAGACTTGATCAGATCTGATCAGGTCTGAGCGTATCTAATG